GAATATTGGTTTGATGAAAGGGCAAATGGGGGAATTCGGGGTTAAAACTTTATGTGCAAGTGTTTTGATGTATTCAGAGTTCAATGGTGTGGTCGGATCTGTTCGGATGTGTTAAGATTAAGGGAATTTGGATTCTAAGTGTTTAGACTAATGAGGCATCGGAATGGAATTTTCGTTTGATGGGAGGGTAAACGGAGGAATTTTGATTTGAGATTTATCGAGTAGGTATTTTGAGAGGTCTTGAGTCTGATGGTGGTGTTTGATATGAGGGTAAAAGTGTAGACAAGGGTTATTCTGGGGCATCGGATTGGTATCAGATGAGTTTAACAGTGAATTTAGGGACTTTGGGATTGAAAGTTAGGATTTTTGGGTGCTTCGGAGGGCTTGATCAGATGTTTGAGACAAATTTGAAATCAAACGATAGGCCGAACAAAAATCAAGTATTGACAAATAGGAAGAACAAGGAGAATGGAGAAGCGGGCGGAGGAAACGTTTATGGACGGAGGCTCCTTTGGTGTTAACAATGATAATAATTTAAGCGGATGAAATTTGTATGATGAGTATGATGATGACAAGATTATATGTTTCTTTAAGAGGCTATTGAATGAGTGGAATTAGGAGCCCAACGAAATACCAGAGACCGAGAAGAGGACTACCAAAGGGAAATCGATGGTTGACATGTTAAGGAGTGTGCCCGGTACCCAAATCCCCTCTTCAAATTTTGTAGAAAAAAGATTCTTCCAGGTGATATTCGTTAAGCATTGTTGGTGGTAGTTGAATGTTGCACGCAACGGGATTACTTGGCTGTAATGGATCAATCCATCAAGATGCCTATTGGAAATGCACCCTGGCTATTGGTGTGACTACGGTTGGTGTCCATGCATGTTTAGCTTGGAAAAAGATTGAAACCAACAGTGTGGCTCATGTAATGAGACGCCCCACAAGTATCTACATTTTGTGAAAAAGACTTGTGACGTTGTGCCAACAGAGGTACCCTACCATGCAATCCAAGGCTCTTGAGTTTAACAACTTAGCTTAATGAGATGACTTGCAAATGCAATCCCTTCTTAACGAAGAAAGGGCACAAAGCTCAGGAAAGGTTGCGACTGATACCTACATCCAAGGATAGCTAGTTACCATGTAACATTAATTTTACACCAGAGGTTTTTTCCTTTTCCAACTATGTTGTCCTTTTTTTAATCAATTTATCAGAGATGTCTTCTTTTCTTCTTCTTCTTCTAGTGGCAATCACCAGTGAGATGATTAAAGTATTTCCCGATGAGAAATTATGGAAGTATTTTTGGGTCAATTTGGTTTTAAAAGAAAAATAGAAAAAGTTGGAGATGGTTTTGACCATGGTTTTCAAATCCGGACCAAACCGGAAAAACTAGGAACTGGTCAGGTGACTGGTTCCAGTTTTCCCCAAAACCAATTTTTTTCCAAAAAATGTTGATTTGGTTAGCAAGCTACTAACCTGAGCACTCGAACCGTTCAACGGTTTTGACCTTTTTTTTGTCAGAACGAGTCATCCATTCGGTTCGAATAGTTCGATTGTTTGACCTGAGAACCGGACCCCTGAACAGTTCGTTGTACATATCAGTTTTAAAAACCTTGATTTTGACAACTCCAGTTCAGAGTTTGAGCCCAAAATCTACCTTGTCTTGCCCACCATCCTTGGTATTCAAAGTTTGTTCTATCTTTCCAAGCGATTAGGTTAAGTTCAATCTTCCAAGAAGCTAATAGGGCATCTCGTCGTCTTTCTGATGAGACCATAGTTCTCTGTAATAGTGGCCCTTCAAGTTATTTCTTTGTTCAAGTTAAAGGAGATCTAACAGAAGTACTCGACCCATTTTATAGGCGGTTTTATATGGTGACGCTCTTAGTAGAACAAGGGAAGTGTTTTATCGATCTTCATCCGGTTCATTTTATGGCGTGAAAAATCATAACCTAGGAAAAACACTATTCTAATTATATAAGTGAGTCCCTCCTCACAAAGGAGAGGCATTTAAAGAAAGAAAATCCAACACTAAAGAATCAACCCTTGTAATTAGCTTTGATGGATTGTGAACAATTTCATGCCACTTCTCTGATTCACGATGATCTTCCCAACATGGACGATGATCTTGTATGTTGGGGCCACCCCACAAACCACGTAGTCTTTAGCGAGTCCGGATTTCCTGCACAATCCATGTGCCATGTCAGCACTCTCTTATGTTAAAATTTCACATGCGTGAGTTAGAGTATGCCAGGGCCACCCCACAAACCATGTAGTCTTTAGCGAGTCCGGATTTCCTAATCCTTCCTGAAGACCTTTTTGTACATCAAATCAAAATGTGCCATGTCAACACTCTCTTATGTTAAAATTTCACATGCGTGAGTTAGAGTAACAAATGTTTCAAATGTCCTCCCTATTTTTAGTATATTAAATTTTTAAAATAAATAAAAAAATGGTTTTTTTTCCTATTTCATTCAAATAAAAAACAAGAAAATTAAACAATCGAGAATAAGAATTCCACCTTGACTTCCGATTTCCAGGAATTAAATGCGTGAAAGCTTAGATGATTCTTCGACTGATAACCAACTAGAATCAACAATGGAGGTAAAGTAATTAATTGACCTTTCTCTGTCAATTTTAATATGTAGATAGACAATAAAAGATTCAAAAGAACAAAGAATCTATCACCACTCATCATTTAGAATCCGTGCATCTATATAATGTTTCGATGTCGAATTGCTATTAGAACAACAACATCTACACAAGAAGTTTTTCTTTATATACTCCATGGTTTTCGAATCACCGTTGATCCAGATAGTTAGAGATTTTAGCAACGTGAGAGAGCCATCATCTTTAGTCGCTCCCACCAATACCCATCAAAAGGTTAGCAGTGTATCTGCAACTAACTCTGTATCTTGGTACTCTTGTTAACTCCTACGAGATCGATGGGGATATTGATGCCAACAATGTCGGTGATGGCACCTCCAGTATGTCGCCCTATAGAAAACTAGGTTCCCCGAAGCTCTACTCGCTTCCGCCGCTTTTCCAACAAAGTTTTAGATAGAAACAGAAAAAATACAAATGATAATATGACTGTAGATGAGGAACAAACCTATGGGAGCAAGACAATTCACCAGTATCTTGACGATTTGATTGGAGTTGTTGGGGTTGAGTGAGCTCTTGATGAAGTCCATTTCATTTGATCGAATGATGATGCAATTGGTTCTACTAGCCTGTGACAACATATCATTGTGGATCAAGCAGCCACTCCTAATTCTTGGATAAATCATTGATTTTGTAGCTTAACATCACTACAAAAATACGAATCGGAATCCGTGCCTATCTCTAAAGCAGTATCGACTCAAATTAGACTTCCTACATAATAGCTTCTTCCATATCTTTTAGTAGATTATTGGGATGTTTTAGGTTCCCATTTCATTTTAGAAGTAACGGGTTTAGATGGTCAATAAGTTACGATGCATTCATCATCAACAATAGAACACACCAGCTATAGGCATGAGATTTGTGAAGATGATGACTCTCTCACGTTGCTAAAATCGGCAAAGAAAGGTCAATTAAATACTTTATTTCGATTGTTGAGAGAGTCATCTCAGCTTTCATGCGTTTAATTCTTGAAAATCGGAAGTCAAGGCGGAATTCTTATTCTCTATTGTTTAATTTTCTTTGTTTTTTATTTGAATGAAATAGGAAAAAGAAATCTTAACTTGTATTATTTATTTATTCTAAAATTTTAATATATCAAAAACAGAGAAGACGTTTGAAAAGTGCCACATGGCACTTTTTGATTTGATGTACAGAAAAATCTTCAAGAAGGATTGTGTAGGAAATCCAAACTTGTCTTCAGCGTCAATATGGCTGTCATCGCTGGGGACGCCCTCTTACTGCTCAGGTTCCAACACATCGTTTCCCAAACCCTTCTTGAACTCGCCCTAGAGACACGCCTCCTCCGCATTATAGCCGAGATAGCCCGTGCACTAGAAATTGTCCGTTGCACTTGGGTTTGAAACTCTATAGTAGAGTTTCCGTTCCCGATTTTGATGCCCTGAGTTTTGTGAAATAAAAGAGTATTTTAGGAGTTTTTGAAAAAATATCAGTCCATGGCGAAGAGCTCACAAAACAATAGGGGAGGTTTAAGAAATTTGCCCTTACCTTTTCCCTTAGCAAATTTTTAAGCAACTTTGAATTCACATCTGCACCCCACAAGGGGGTGCTCCAAAATGCCCCACATCACATCCCTACTTTGTATTGGGAACATCTCTTGATAACAGTACGGGAGATGATGAGACATCATTGGGAGATGCTCCCAATACAAGATGGAGATGTGTTGTGGGGCAATGGGGCCCATATGTGAACTTGTCACCAAAGTCCAAACATATATGGGTTGGAAGTGGGAATTAGCGAGTTTGGGACGAGTTATGGGCTTTACATCTGTGCCCTACAATGTCCCATGGTAAATCTCTGCAATGTGCTGGGAACAACTTCTTGATGATGTATCAGAAATGATGATGTCATTATCAGGAGATGTTCCCAATACATGACGGAAATGTGCCTTGGGATGTAGTGGGGCGCAGATTTGAACTCTAAGTTATGTATTGGGTGAGTTCAAATCAGCCCCCCACAACGTCCCATAACACATCCCCACATGGTGATAATACAAAAAATGATGATGTCATCGTTGGGAGATGTTTCCAATACAAGGAGGGAATGTGCTGTGAGATTAGTTCCAATTTACTGGGGCGCTTCACAATGTCCCACAGTGCATTCCTGTTGTGCATTGGGAACATCTCCCAATGATATATCAGACCTGATGATGTTCCCAATACAAGGCGGGGATGCGCTGTAGGACGTTGTGGGGCGCAGATCTGAACTCCTGTGGGACGTTGTGGGGGCAGTCTTGTGGGGGCTGATTCGCTCTGGTAGCGGGTACCCGTTACTCCGTTAGGTCTGGATTTTTAACTCCCTGCCACCTATAAGGGTTTCGTTCCTTTCGGCTTTCGCTCGCTATTTGCGAGTGCGTATCTCTCTCCTGCGAGCGCAACTTCAAAATATCAGGAATACACTGAATCACTAGACAGAACCACCCTACTGACTAGATGGACTTGAAAGATCCAAAGAACGGGCTCAGTCGTTCATAGTCTTCTTGGTTTATCTGTCTGAAATTGTAGTTCTTGATTCTTGAGGTTCCTAGCAATTGAACCTTTTCGTTTCACAAGTCATGGACGAAGAGACTGATCATGATAATTGCGGTCGGTTCAAACGAAAAATCGCTGAGATAGACAATGAGATTCAAGAAAAGCAAGAACTTGCGGAAAGCGAGTCGGATTTTGTTTCTGAAGTAGTTTTCTCCGAAGTTATTGATGAAAAGCAAGAGATGATCGTTTCTGAGATCGAAGAAAAGCAAGAAATTATAGAGAAAAAGGCGAGTTCCGTTTCTGAAAGATCCGGCACTGGTCTTCTGACCGAGACAATGGATTCGATTGGTTGTGAAAACACTGGAGTTTTCTCAGGTGTTGTAGAACCGCAGAAGATGGTTGCCCATTTTATCGATGACTGCGAGGGAGGTCTCTTGCAATCCAAAGGTCACAATAACAGTCTGAGCGAAGAGTGGGTCCAAGAGAAGGGTTCTGTTGCACGATCTCGCACGGAACCTATCTTGGAAGATTGCAAGATAAGTTTCTTAGCTTCTGAAAAAAAGGGAAAGATGGTGCAAGACGACGTTGTGTCTATCTATCAATCTCAATATCTCGTTGAGGAGGTCAGTAGTTTGAGGAGATGTCAAAGGAATCCTGAGAGTCTATTGGAAGTTAAAGAAACGCAATATGTGCTGGAGTCTGAGCTTAAATCCATCTCTAATGCTCATAACAACGATGCAAAAATGAAGGAGATCAGTCAAGAGCATGAAAAGTTGGAAAATGAAGTTCAGGATACTGATGAGAAGCTGAACGGTGGGCCTGAGTGTGAAACTTGTGTTTCGGAGGCCAAAGAAGCTCAAGAATTGATGGAAAATGATGGTTCCAGGACGAAAGATTTCAATGGAACTGAGGAGCACATAGAAAATTCCTCGTCGAGTAAAGAAAAAGGAGAAACGCCAGACACTCATCAAACATCGATTTCTAAACATGGACTTGACTGTGTTAAGATCGCGAGGGTGGTGGTTTTCGGTAAAGGTTCAGAGACAGATGTGAAAACTGATGTAAAAGAAGAAACAAGTGGGAAGGAGAAACTTTCCAGGAGAAAACTGAAGGCCATGAAGAAGGCTTCAGTGATGAATGAGACTCGAAGAGTGTTAAATCTTTGGGCTGAAGTTCGAGATATCTGCCCAATGAAACCGGATCAATGTAAGATTAGTTACTCAAGGAACGAAATGGATGCTCTGAGGTTTGTGGATGTTGAAAGACAGCAGACTATGTGGAAAGAGATATACAACGCTCTGGAGCCTGTTGTGGCGAAGGAGCTTGATGGCATGACAAGATGTAAGCAGCAGACACAGAGGCACAGAAATGTTGATAATCGACAACGTCCTGGAAAGAAGAAAGGGGGTGACGGAATTCTCCGTATGTTTCCTCATTTTGACTATCTTGTTCATTTCGAACGTTTCTTATTCTTTCTGTTTAACTTTATTTTTAATTATGCATATGCTTATTTATGGATTTGAATGATTGTTCTTAAGAAGAAATTATATTCTTGTTGGCCTTTGAGTATAGGACTAGGCTCTAGTTCAGCATCTGGTCTTGGAGATAGTTAACATTTGATTGTATGATGCTATTGAAGGAAAGCAAAGGTTGAGAAAAAAAATCAGGGTTTGAGGGGCATATATTTTAATGAAGGCTGGACTGTATATTAGTCAATGTGTTCATTGGTAATTGGTCATAAAACAGCAACTACAAAAGGAAATTTTCCTTGGTATTCAGTTTACGTGCTATATCCACTGTATTGAGTCTTTTGACAAATCAATTTGCAATTGTTCATGCCAACAGTTTAGCAAACACTCTTGCAAGGTTGAGTGTTAACAAAAGTGAGTTAGAATGGGGAATGCCTGGGCCAGGTATAAATGCGTACTGACTATTCTTACTTCAGCATGATATTGACAGTCTTTGACTACGATGTGTCTATACTACTACTCTAAGCATGTGGAGAGTAGTATTGCTTTTTTTGCTATTGAAAATTTCCAATATTAATGCGACATTGTTATTTATCAAAAAAATTTCATGTTTGTGACTTATAACCTTACCTACACTGAATATCCTGATAAAATTCCTATCGGTTCCTTAAAATGGGAAGACCTTCCTTCTTACTTGTGGGTGAAAAGAACGGATTCTTTTATTTATGCAGGATGTTAGAAAGTTCAAATTTCTTTATGTGCCAAACCCATAGGTTGTAAAGAGTATTTACTCTAATATCAAACCGGCTTAAGTTCATGAAAACACTCATCCATGGTTAGCTCTCTGTACCTTGGAACAAAATTTGCCACTTTATCATAAAAAGGAAACAGAAAAGAACACCTTTTACCACTTAGATTTAGGAAATCCACTATTACACCAATAAACTTCTACTACTATATGGTGGTACAAATGGACATTTGTTTACCTGTTGATGCTTTCTTGGATCTTGGGGCAATATTAAATAGATGCATATGGAAGGCTGAGTAATGGACCTGGGTGTTCTTTTAGGTATTTCCTAGTTGCTTAAGCCTCAAGGAAGGGGTTTTTATGTGTTTATAGGGTTTTCAGTTTTGGTTGCGGTGGGGATCTCAAAATGTAATTGATTATTTTAGGGTTGTTTTCTTAAGGTACAAGGGGTTTAGCTGATGTTGTTTTTCCTGGGTTGGGTGATGTCTTATCACCTAGTTGTATCCTCCTTTTTCTGTTTCGTTAATAAATTTTCTTCTTTATTTATCTTCAAAAAAAAAGCCTCAAGGAAACTCGGAATGTAGGTATTAAATGCCAATATGTATCCTTATATCTTTATTGATCAAGCCAATATGTATCCTTATAGTTAATAAAGTTCAACCAGCTTAAGTTCATGAAAACACTCATCCATGGTTAGTTCTCTGTACATTGGAACAAATTTTTGCACTTGCTCGTTTAAGAAAATAAAGAACACCTTTTACCTCTTAGGTTTAGGAAATCCACTATTGCACCAAGAATTTTTTACTATACGGTGGTACAAATGGACATTTGTTTACCTGCTGATTTCAGCTAACCCTAAGGCCCCAAAGAGAGGGCTTTTGCTTGGCGCAATATTAAATATATGCCTATTGGAAGGTTGTGTAATGAACTTGGGTATTTTCTAGGTATTTCCTAGTTGCTTAAGCCTCAAAGAAACTTGAAACGTGGGTATTGTATGCTAATATGTATCTTTATAGTTAATAAAGTTCACATTGTGTTACTGGAAAAATAACAGAAAAGGAAAAGCTATATTCTAAGAGGATAGGACCTAAAAGCTCTAGCCTTCTAAATGAGCCGTTTACAACTAACCTGGAAAGGAGAAAAGAAAATTCCATTGGTTTAGTTGATACTCGAAGGACCATGTTCGTAAGTTAACCCAAGGAACCCCATCAAAGATAGCAGTAATAGAGCCACCAAAAAGTTCATCAATACTATTGCCCATGGGCCATGGGTGTTGTCCAAAAAATGTGGTTATTACATCTGTACTCATTGCATTATGTTTAGGAATACCATTTTGACAGGGACAAAATTAGATTAAGGCCTTGTATTTTATTTTTTGGTGAAAACTTCTGCCATATTGGCAGAAAAGGCTGCTTTACCAGTTACCACTACTTCCTCCAGTTTCCATATCATATATGTTGACTGTTTCTAGTGTTGGTGTCGTAGTTGTTGTTATTATGTTTTCTCTTCATGAGACTAGTCACATTTTTTGACATTTTTTTTTCTCCTATTAATGATTTTGTTGGTATGCATTTCCTTATCTTATGGATCTTAATTTCCTATTTTGGTGTCAATTGGTTCTGAGTTAGGTTTAGACATAAACATGGTCCCCTTTATTTTGTTTTCTATTATACCCAGATACCTGACATGTCTAGAATACCAGTGTCAGATATGAATATATGATGAGCATCCAATATCACAGCAGATACTGCATAGACACTTATAGCATTAACACTTGTAGGATATATAAAGCAGTATATTTTAACAAACATACTATAAAGAAATTTGAATGTGTTAGAATTTCATCAAAAATGTTAGAAGTTAATTAAATCTGACAGGATACAAGTATTAAGAAATGTCACTTAGCTGTATATTTTAACTAACATATTATAAAGAAATCCGTATGTGTTAGAAATTCATCAAAAAATGTTAGAAGTTAATTATTTATCAAAAAAATGTTAGAAGTTAATTAAATTTGACAGGATACAAGTATTAAGAAATGTTGTATTGGTATTCGTGTCAGTATCTATATCCTAGTGCCATCTTTTTACATGCTGATATAGTGTAGACTGTAGAGGCACCTTTATTAACTTTCTGATTGTTCACAGATCTGTGGATAACTGATGAAACATTTCAATAAATAGTTTGTTTCTTTCCCTGGTGGAGAATGGAAGAAGAAAAAATAATGCCATTCCCATAGTCAAGTCCTCACCTCCTTTCTAGATGTTTTTTTTTGTCAAGCTATTTCTTCTCTTGGGTCTATGTGTCAGATTGTGTCAATTTGATGGGGTTTTATTTATACTGTGCACAGGTACGGTGGCTGCAAAGGGAAGATGGAACTACCTGCAAATCCATGTGCATTGAAGATATCTGCAAGCAATATGCACAATATTCCTGCCAAGAGCCACTAGACTTGAACCCTAGGGAGATGATAGTTTTAAGTGGCATAGACATTTGTATAAAACCCTTACAAAAAGCGCTTGCCCAATTTTAATGTTGACTTCTGAAGTAAATACTTTAGTGATAGTGTTCATGATAAAAATGTACTACCATTGTAAATGACAATAATAAGCTGATGATACTTCTTAATAAAACCTGTACTGCAAATAGTTGTAATTTCTTCTTTCCCTGGCTTCTCCTTTTGTTAAAAATGGGTTATTTATCGACTTTTACACGTTAATAAAACTTGTATTCATGATTACATGCACTTCAATGGGTTGAAATGGCTTATCCATGCACTTAATCATCTTGGATATTGTGCATCTCTTCTTTTGTATTCTTGCCATGGCTACTCCTACCCTCATTAAAAATGGATGAGAATGCTTTATTTGGTCATGTATTTCAGGTGAGTCCTGTCCTCCAAATACGGAGAATAATGAATACAAAGAGGCAAATCCTCTAGATCAAGCTTGTGGTGTCTATGTTAATCCCTTGGATCTTTCTTGTGGAGATTGTGTTAATGATCAAAATGATTGCACCATCATTCAAGAGGAGACCATCATTGAAGAGGTATTCAATGAAGATGAAGACAGTGAGGATGAGTATGAAAGCATCCATAAACTTGCCTTTTTAGTCGAAGGAGAACCTGATTTTGACTCTGGCTCCCCTCAAGATGGTTTTGAATATCTTAGACGTGTGAGGTATCTTTGCATCATGTTCTTTTTGAATTTGTATGGTTGATTATGTTACATATGGCGGGGTGGCATTTTTGTATTACTTTAGCATTCTTAGTTTTCTTCCTCAAATATCAGATCTTTATTGGCATTATTTGAAATTTTGATTTCATTAGGCATTTTTCCATGTGCAAATGGGGTAATATCAGGGATTTTATAAATTATGCTCAGATATTTGAAAAATCTAAAAAACTATAAAAAAAGAAAATGAAACTTATTTTATAAAACTTAAATAAATGTTAAACAAGATATAATCACACACTTAAAACCCAAAAAAATGACAATCCACTATATACCATAAACAATAAGAGATTAAAACTCTTAAATAGGTATCAATGGGAACATCTAATTATTCTCGTGCAAGATGAATATTCTTATAAATATTACTTTACCTTTTCCAAAAAAAATGAATATCCTTATAAACCAAGGTTAACCTTATATTCCTAATTCTTTCACATAGAGGTTCTTTAAGATGAACTCGAACTCTATCTTAAATTATGAGATCATATTAGTTATTGCTATGATTTATATTGTTGTATATTATTAATTATCCAATTAAAATTTTTAAAAGTTTTATATTTTTTAAAGCCTAGTTCAAGTTGTTGATTCAAAGATCTAAAATCAATAATTCCAAATGCTTTTTTTTTCCTTAATCTTATGCAAAAATGTGGTTTGAGGATTTTCTATGCATTAGGATTGTTTCCTATTGATTTTTGGCAAAACTACAGAAAATTTCCCAATATTTCACTGAAATTTTGAATATTTGCATATAATGAATTTAAAATTTTGTTTATATACCATTTTTGAAATATAGGGAAATATTGAGATAAATTTACTTTATTTTATTTTATTTTTTATTCTAGGATGTTTTTGTTTTGTCCCTTGGGGAAATAGGGAGATTTTGGAGAATCTCTATATTTCAGAAAAATGCAAATTATGCTTATTGGTTTCTCTCCCTTGAAGGGTTACATCTATATTTGGGTGAGCTGAAGTTTGGTTTTGTTATTTAAATGGTTAAGTGTATAAATCACAAGGATGTAGGAGTTAATTCTTATATTAAAAACCATCCAGTCTCCACAGATTGGACATATTTTCTCCCTACTTTGTGGAACTGTGACACATGTGTCAAGACACAAATGACTAAAACAGTGAGTCAAGTTTACAAGAAAAGGCCACGCCAGCCTTTAAAACAATACAAATGAAAGCCAACCACTAGAACAGAGTACATAACAGAACTTTACAAGTGGATAGGCTTGTGTAATTGATTGTATCACAATTATAAATAATGAAAGAAAGATCAGAGGGGGGCGACATTGATTTTGGAAATTTTCTCTCTCTCTCTCTCTCTCTCTCTTGTTTTAGGAGGTAGGCTCCCTCAAAGAGCTTTGCGTTAGGCAGCAACCTAACAAGTTGGTATCAGAGTGAAGATGCCAAGTACAAGGTCGTCCTCGATGGAGAACAAGGTCGACAACATGGAAGGGGAGATGCAACAATGTCGGCAGACATTAAAGAAATTAAGGAGAGCCTTTGTGTCCTTGCTTGGACGACTAGAGAAGATACCACTGGGTTTGAATCGAGAAGGGCAAGAAGAATACAGCGGTACCAGTCACTGGAGCAGATCAGGAACCAATAGAATGGCAACAATCGAGTTTCCCATCTTCGCAGGGGTGATCCAATGTCTTGGCTCCTTTGAACGGAAAGGTATTTCGATTACCACGACATGCCTGGACCTGATTGCATTCCCTTGGCCTCCGTGCACCTGGAAGGAGAAGTGATCGTCTGGTACCAGTGGTATCGGCAACAACACCCAAGAGCTACATGGGCGGACTTCACAATGCCTTAATAATTAGGTTTGGAGCATCGGCCTTTGAAAATTATGATGAAAGCCTTGCCAAATTACGACAAACCGGCTCCGTCCAAGATTACTAGATGGCATTTGAAAGATTGGCTGTGTGCGTGCAAGGGTGGCCGGAAAACGCATTGGTTGGTAGTTTTGTCGGCGGACTAAGGGAAGAACTGCGACTGGAGGTTAAAGCTATGCAACCTACCACTTTCTTGATGCAACAACTTTAGCTCGACTCCATAAGGATAAACCAAATCGAGCAAGAAGAATTAATCGACCTCTGGGAGCCACAGTTAGACCAGGTATACCTAACCCAGAACCTGGTATCTTAGGCAAACTGGATTCCAGACCAAGAGTGGGAATTGTGGGCAAGGAAGCCAGTTCAAGCCCATTTGCCCTAGGCAAGAGGTTAACCTGGGCCGAGATGCAAGCCTGTTGAGAGAAGGGTTTTTGTTATGCTTGTGGAGACAAATTTGGACCAGGCCATCGTTGCAAGATCCAACAGGTATTCTTCCTTCAACCCGAAACTGAGAACATAGAGGAGGAACCAACTGACATCAGCTTGCCAGTGGATAACCAAGAATGGGAGCAGTGGACAAAAGAATGTCCAGAAGTATCCTTGCAAGCCTGTTCAGTTATCTACTTTGGAGTGTGAGAGTTGTTAGTTAGGAAAGCATTGTAGACAGTCTTTTAAACCAAGTAATAAAAGAAGTACTTCTGCTTTTAATATCATTCACACTGATGTATGGGGGCCATATCATATCCCTTCCATGGGAGGATTCCGTTACTTTTTCTTGTTTGTGAATGATTATACACGATATTCTTGGATATATTTGATGAGATCACGTGATGAGGTTCCTAACTTGGTACGACAGTTCCACCAGATGGTTCTCACACAATTTGGAGTGAGAACTAAGGCTTTTAGATCAGATAATGCCAGAGAGTACTTTGAGAAGGACCTGACCACGTATCTCTTAGAACATGGTGTAGTTCATCAGAGTAGTTGTGCATATACACCGCAACAGAATGGAGTTGCTGAGAGGAAAAACAGACACATTGTGGAGGTGGCAAGGAGTCTTATGGTGTGTGCTTCAGTTCCTTTGCAGTTCTGGGGAGATGCAGTTTTTACAGCTGTGCATTTGATTAACCGTGTTCCTTCACGAACTTTGGGGTTTAAGGTGCCATTTAGTTTTATTTTTCCAGATGGGGTGATATTTCATATACCTCTGAGGGTTTTTGGCTGTGTTTCCTATGTTTACATTCTTGGCCCTCATCGCAAGAAATTGAATCCTAAGGCCAAGAAATGTGTTTTTCCTAGGTATGCTCAGAACCAAAAGGGGTATTGCTGTTATGACCCAGTGTCGATGAGCAGATTTGTCACTATGGATGTTACCTTCTTTGAATCCACCTTCTTCTCGAGTGGTTCTCCTCAGGAGGAGAGTTTTGGGGAGAACTCACAATCTGTTCCTCTTCCTGTTTCTTTGGTGCCTCTATTAGTTCAGCCAGCACCTCCATCAGTTCAGCCAGTACTTGCATCAGTTCACTTGCACTTCCAGTTTCATTACCTGAGCCACTATGGGCAGCCTCACAAAAATATCAGTGCTGGTAGATGATGGTTGACTCTACACATCCTCAACCGACACCACTCTCTGTCAGTCCTTCTAAAACTCCAGATTTGATAGATACAGTTCTAGTTTTTCCTCTTGAGCTTGAGCCTGTTATGTTTTATGATGATAATGTTCCTGTCCCTAACACCATTGTTGCAGCTGATCCAATGACCTTGATCTTCCCATTGCACTTCGTAAGGGGAAGAGAAAGTGTATAGCCCACTGCATTTCACACCATCTTTCCTACAGTGCCTTATCACCCTCTTACCGTGTTTTTCTTTCTTCCCTGGATTCTGTGTCTATACCCAGGAATGCTACTGAGGCTCTCTCCAAACCTGAGTGGAAAACAACCATGCAAGATGAGATGGATGCTTTGGTCAAAAATCAAACTTGGGAAATAGTTGATCTCCCCCCAGACAAGGAAACAGTCGGATGTAGATGGGTATTCACAGTGAAGGCCGATGGCAAGATAGAGAGGTACAAGGCAAGGTTGGTAGCAAAAGGGTATACTCTGATCTATAGTGTTGATTATCTGGAAACCTTTGCATCAATAGCTAAGATGAGTTCAATTTGTATCTTTTTATCTCTAGCAGCCACCTATTCATGGCCCTTGTTCTAGCTTGATGTCAAAAATGCCTTCCTCAATGGTGATTTATAGGAGGAGGTATATATGGACATTCCAACATGCTTTTATGAAAATATTAGTAGAGGAAAGGTGTGTAGACTCAGAAAATCTCTGTATGGACTGAAACAATCACCTAGGGCTTGGTTTGACAGGTTTAGAGGGGCACTCATCCGTTTTGGATACACACAGACACAGTCTGATCACACCCTCTTTGTGAAGAGGAGAGACGCTCTGGTGTCAATTTTGATTGTGTATGTGGATGATATAGTGGTGACAGGAAATGATCTAGAGGAGATTGATGATCTCAAAAAATCATTGTAGCAAGAATTTGAGATYAAAGATCTTGGTGAGCTCAAATACTTTTTGGGGATTGAAGTTGYAAGATCCAAGCATGGGATCTTCATTTCACAGAGAAAGTGTGTACTTGACCTATTGTGGGAGACTGGGCAGCTGGGGACCAAACCAGCAGACACTTCTATTGATTCAAATCACAGAATTAATGGTGTGGATGGCTAGTTGGTAAAGGATGCGAGGAGATATCAAAGAATGGTGGGCCGACTGCTGTGTTTGTATATGACACAACCAAATATTTCTTATGTTGTCAGTGTTGTGAGTCAGTATATGCATGCACCTCGGGTTTAGCATTGGGAATCTATTGAGAGAATACTTGCATATCTGGAAAAGCACCCTGGCATAGGCATTATTTTCTCAAATCATGAGAATCTGAAGCTAGAATCCTATACAGTTGCAGACTGGGCAGGATGCTTAGATGATAGGAGGTCTACATCAGGAGTGTGTACCTTTGTTGGTGGAAACTTGATCTCCTGGAAGAGTAAGAAGCAAGCAGTTGTGGCAAGGTCAAATGCAAAGGTTGAGTATAGGTCCATGGCTC